ACCTCTGCCTCCTGGGTTCAGGCAATTCTCCTGCCTCAGCTGAGTAGCTGGGATTACAGGCACGTGCCACCATGCCCAGCTAATTTTTTGTATTTTTAGTAGAGACGGGGTTTCACCAGGTTGACCAGGATGGTCTCGATCTCTTGACCTCGTGATCCACCCGCCTCGGCCTCCCAAAGTGCTGGGATTACAGGCGTGAGCCACCGCGCCTGGACCGACCCTTTTGATTACTTAGGTTGACATCACAAAGTTCTGCAGTGTATAATGTGCAAATGCACATATTAATAAATTTCTGTTTATTTTTCTGTTGCTTTAATTTTTCTATCAGTCCAAATGCAAGGCCCCAACCAATGAACCTAAAATAAATGAAGGCAAAAAAAATTTTTTTATATGAGCTCAAAACAACTGCAGACATTGTAAATAAAACGCTCAAAAAAAAAAACTGGACTGTACCAATGTCAATTTCCTAGACATTACCTTTGAAAAAACTGATGGGTATATGGGATCTTTTTTTAATTATGTTTTATAATTATAAATACATATTTTTGAAATAAAAAATAATAAAAGCAAAACTAGGGGGTGAGGGCATCCAAGACGGCCGAGTAAGAACAGCACTGGATTGCAGCTCCCAGTGAAAACGCAGAGGGTGAGTGGTCACTGCATTTCCAAATTTTAATTGCCCACAGACCAAGAGATTCCTGGGCAGAAAAGGGCAACGAGTCACCAGTGCGGTTGTTTCAGCCAGCACAACAGACCTCTGGACCTCCATACAAAAACTCACACAAATCTGGCGCCTTTTTAACTGTTGACTAGAAAGCCTGGGAGACAGAGTCGCCCATAGAACTGATAAAAAGGGGACTGAAACAGGGAACCAGGCCAGGAGATTTCCAGGTGGAAAAGCACCACGAGTCTCCAGCATGGCTGTTTCAGCCAGTGGCAGAAGGTCTCCGCACAAAAACTCACACAAATCCAGGCATCCTTTCAACTGACCACTGGAACGCCTGGGAGACAGAGTCACCCATTCAACTGAAAAAAATGGGACTGAGGCAGGGAGCCAGGTGATCTGGGTTGGCTGGTTCCATCCCCACAAAGACCAGCAATCTGAAACGCTCTAAATTGAGTTTCACAGCAAGCACAGCTGAACGTGGGATGGTCCAGCTCTGTGGCGGAAGGGCGTCCACCATTATCAAGGCAGTCTACCACTACCGACATAGTCCGCCATTGCTGAGGCAGTCCAGCATTACCGAGGCAGCCTGCCATTATTGAGACAGCCCACCATTACTGAGGCAGTCTGTCATTACAGAGAGTCTGCCATTACAGAGGTGGGCCACCATTACCAAGGCAGTTCTAACTATACCCCTATAAATGAAACTGAAGGAAGTTCACACACAAGCTGGGCAGAGCCCATGGCAGTTCAGCAATGCCTCTGCTGGCAGACTGTGGCTAGGCAAACTCCTCGCTGGGCAGGGCATCCCCCAAAAAAGGCAGCAGCACAACAGAAACTGATAAATAAAGCCCTACTTCCTGAGAAGAGCACCTGGGGGAAAAAAAGGTGGTTATGAGTTCTGCTGCGGCAGACCTAAACGTACCTGCCCAGCAGAGCTGAACGGAACAAGGGACCCGAAACCTCAGCACTTGAGCTCCTATGAAGGACAGTCTCCTCAAACAGCTCCCGAACCCCCATATATCCAAAGAGTCACCTCATAAAGGAGCGCTCAGACATCTGGCAGGTATCCTTCAAGGGCAAAGATAGCAGAAGAAGAAACTGACAGCAATCGTTACTGTTCTGCAGCCACTGCAGGTGATCCCCAGGCAAACAGGGCCTGGACTGGACCTCCACCAGTCCTTCAGCAGAGAGGCCTGACTGCTAAGAGGGAAAACTAAAAAACAGAAAGAAATAACTTCGTCACCAACAAAAAGGTCGTCCACTCAGAGACCCCAACTGAAAGTCACCAACTACAAAGACCACAGATAAAAAAATCCACAAAGATGGGAAAAAAACAGCGCAAAAAAAAAAAAGAATACTGAAAACCAGAAAGCCTCTCCTCCACCAAGGGGTCACAATTCCTCACCAGTAAGGGCATAAGGCTGGATGGAGAATAAGCATGATGAATTGACAAAAACAGGCTTCAGAAGGTGGGTAATAACAAACTTATATGAGCTAAAAGAACATGTTTTAACCCAATTCAAATGAACTAAGAGCCTTCAAAAAAGGTTTGAATGAAATGCTAATGAGAATAAACAGCTTAGAGA